TTAATATCATCCTAGAGTTTTAAATAGTTTGCTCCTATAAAATGTTGCTACACTATATTATTATGTTGCTTTTATCTTATTGAATAGATTTTACTTCCAATTTACAGTAGAGTAAATTTTTTTAGTCTAGAATTTGTTGATTTTTAAATAAGTAGCCAAACTTAAAAGCATCTTTACAAGTATCTTTACCATTTGTTAACCCAATGAGAAATATTCTGGACATAATACAAAATAAATTCCTATATTACTCATAGATATTATACAACTTTTGTTTGTTTGTTTGTTTGTTTTTTGAGTTGGAGTTTCACTCTGTCACCCAGGCTAGAGTGCAGTGGCACACTCATGGCCACTACAGCCTCAAACTGCTGGACTCGGATGATCTTTCCGACTCAGCCTTCCAGGTAGCTGGAATCACAGGCACGCTTCTCCATGCCAGGCTAATTTTTTGATTTATTGTAGAGATGAAGTCTTGCCAAGTTGCCCAGGCTGGTCTTGAGCCCGTGGGCTCTGGCAATCCTCTCTCCTCGCCCTCCCAAAGTGCTGGGATTATAGGTATGAGCCACTGCGCCCAGCCATACTCTGTTTAATACATAAGTCCTTGGGAGTGCTAAGTGTTACTATTGGTTTGATTTAATCTTGGAAGAAGAAGGGTCAGGTATGAAAAGAGATGGAAGGGAATGCCAGCTAGAAAGTGGGAATGAATATAAAGGTAGTGCTGATGGCTAAGGTGAATTGTCTAATCTGGAATCTGATTCCCAAACAAGGGACAAACAGTTTTCAAACAAGACACCATAAAAGATCATGGGAATCTTTCCAATTTCCTAGTTTGTTAGTTGGGTTCTAGCATGGGTCCAATTTATATCCTGTTTGTCTTCCAAAGGAAATAATACTGTGTTTCAAAATGCTGAAATCTAGGTAGGTTCCATTTTAACCTTGGGCTAGTTTAAATATCATTTTGAAATTGTACAAAGTTAAAATGAGGCTTTTGCAGGTTAAATGGTTGAAAGAGATGACCTTCAAGATTTCCTCCTCACTACAGAGTTCTGTGATATTGCCCTTCTTTCCAAGAGTACAGGGAAAGAGCATGGGCACTAAATATTTGAGCCATCTACACATTCAAGACCTTTAGGTTTGATCTGAAGAGTTTCAGAGTGTGTCAGTATTCTGTTCTTTCTTGGTCCTAAGAATCCTAACTGATAGGTAGCTGGCAGATTTACTTTATGATCTTTGTACAAATGAAGCCAGTAAGCTTGAGGTGGCACAGCATGAAGTTTTGGTCTTCAGAAGCCTCGACCTTTGTTCCTGTATTTGGAAGTGTAGGCAAATCCTTGAACAAAATTAATGCTTAGCAGGGAGTTCACCTTTCACTTATTCCAACTTCTTGGGTTTCATCCCTTGTTGGAATGCATCCATAAGCATTATGATTTAACTAATGTAGAATATAGTCAACATAATAATTTTCAAAATAATGAGTAGTTCAGGCCTAAGATCATCATTACAAGCTCCCATCGATTCTTTTAAATGAGAGAGTTGTATTGAAATGGTACTCATTCTGTAGTCTGTCCAGAAAACACTGTCTTCTTGGTAGAATGGTGAGAAAGTTGGGCTTAGGGTGTAACCTGAGCTTGGCATATTTGGGGAACTTGAGGATGACAGCTCACTGGGATGCAGGGTCTGGGTTGGGGAGTCACAGGAACTAAGTGACAGTTGAAACTGGATTTGAGATAAGTACTGGTAGATTCTGAGCACAGGAGCAGTAGGATGCAGTGGTTCCTTGGGAGATGTAGCTGGCAGAGAGTGTACTAGAGAAAGAGCAGAGGGAGATAAGAGTTTACTAGGAACCTTGAGAGGAGGCTGGCTATACTCCGAGTGATGAACCCTGGACCACGGTGGTCATGCTGAGGGTGACACACAAAGGCCAGTGAGATATTTAGGGATTATTGTTTACTTCTTAAAAACAACAAATAGCAACACCATTATCACACGTAAAGAAATGGAAACACTTTTTTAATACCAAATATCTAATTAGTGTTCATGTTTCTAGTTGCTCATAATGATATGCATATATTTTATAGTGTATTTGAATTAGGATCTAAATATGTCTACACATTGTTGTTGCTTGAGATAGTGCCAAAATCTCTTTGATCACAGGTATCCTTCATCTCTGTTTTTCTTCCCTTGCATGTAACTTGTAGAAGAAACTGAGTCATTTGTCGTTCGAGTTTCCTGCAGTTTTGATTTTGCTGAACACACTCTTGTGGTGGTGTTTGATATGTTCTTCTGTTCTCTGTGTTTTCAATAAATTGGCAGGTGGATTTCGGGGCTTTATCATATTGTGTTGATCAAACCTTGTATCTAGTTCATATGCAAAATAGAATTATGCTTGCTGTGGTGTGAGGTCATCTTATTTATTTGGTCAACTACTAGATGTAATTTTCTCTTCATTATCTACAGTGATCTATACAGACCTTGGGTATAGTTGGACAGGTTCTCACAAATGCACACATTCATGGTCTCCAGCTCCCAGAGTCTTGCCATTCCCCTAAACAGTTCCTTTACATCCCTTCACACACAGTCCTTCTCTTCCCTCAGAAACAATGGCTTTTTATCCCCAGAGACCAGTTTTACTTGCCTTGCTTTTTTTATTCTGCATCAGTGATTTTAAGAAAGAAAAATAGGCGTCTGAAAACTTAGCTGAGAGTGAGTATTGCCACTGTCAAGAGCACCTTGTTTTCCATACAGTTCAGCAACTCTCTATTTTAGATGACAGTAAGCCTTGCTCTTCTTGCCTCCTGTTAGAGGGATACATTCACTGATATAAGAGCCAGACTCCATTTTCATAAGATGGTTTTACTTTCAGCTTCACTGTTTTCTCATCAGGATCATGCAGGACAGCGTGCCTGTGATTCTTTGTTCCTCCAGGGTTTTCTCACAGTAACTTGTTCCCACACAACAGGGTGCTTCTCCTCCTGAAAGAGAGAATGTGGCTCCGGAGATCAAACAACTGTGTAGGTCCTACCACATTTTTCTCCTGGGCAGTGGCACACGTCCCTTTCTGGGGTGTGAGTTTTTATATGCTGCCTAGAAGAATCTTTCTGTGTAAATGTTTTCCGAGATACCTCACACGTTATATCCTCCTAAAGAGCTTCTTTCATGTTTCAGAAGTTCACCTATGTTTTTGCCACAGAGGAACATCCCTTTTGACACATACTGCAGCCCTCGTGGGCCTGGCTGAATGGCTCCAGGCTGCTGGGTGAGGCAGAGAGCTACCACATCCCTCCTGGCACACATGAGTAGTGGGACACTGGTATAATGGATGTTCAGCTGCTGATGCTTCTTGAAGGTCTTCTTACAACCTTCAAATTGCATACATATTGTTTTTGCTCATTTTCTTTTCTTTTTTTTTCTTTTGAGTCAGAGTCTTACTCTGTCACCCATATAGAGTACAGTGGCACACTCACAGCCACCGCAGCCTCCATCTGCTGGGCTCAGATGATCCTTCCACTTCAGCCTTCTGAGTAGCTGGAACTACAGATGTGTACCAGTATGCCCAGCTAATTTTTTGATTTGTTGTAGAGACGAGGTCTCACAAGTTGTCCAGGCTGGTCTCAAACCCCTAGGCTCAGGCAATCCTCTGGTGTTTGCCTCCCAAAGTCCTGGAATTATAGGCGTGAGCCACCATGCCTTGCCCCATTTTTTCCCTAATTTCCATTTTGTGTTCAAGATGTTTCTTCAAGTTGAATTTTGTATTGGATTTTTGGTCACAGCCACTAGCTGCACAAACAGCTTTTCCCCAGAATGAATGAGGACGTGGCGACTTGGGTGGTAGTTGCTGATGAATGTCTTTCCACACACTTCAGAGTCACAAGCAAATGGTTCCCCCTCCTCATGCTTTCACAGTTGCGTGTTTAGCTTCTAGGCCTTGTGGTTATTGGCACTGTACTCAGGGAAGGAGCAGATGAACCTCCTGGGAAGTGCCCAGGGGTGGGGGTCTCTCACTGGCCTCAATGAAGTCCTTAATCATCAGAGAGGACATTGGCTTCCACGGTACCTGGCTTCTGCCCCTCCCCCCCCCGCCAGTCAGGTGCACAGCCACTTGCCATGTCATGTGCCATGCACAGACTGCCTCCCCCGATGAAAACGTATAGCATCAACATTTAGTCTTCACGAATTTTAGTTTGCATTGTAAACATCTATTTGGTACCTATTGTGTGCCAGAACCTGTGTCATTAGAAATATAAAAACGATTATCACAGAGTTGACAATGAGGATGATGAGCTGGTTATGAGTAACTGTGGAGGCAGAGCAGGGTGAGCATCCTGGGGATACAGAAGAGGGAGAAGTTGGTGAGTGTGCAGGGGGGACTGTGGTGTCGCCATTGTTCTTCTGAGGTCATAACCCAACTATGAAGCCTTGGTTCCTTTGGTCGTTTGTCATTTTCCTGCATATTCACGGGATTTCCTCACTGCCCTGATGAAAAACAGACTCAGAGCCATGGTTTGCAATACTTTCCTCCTGGAGGTGGAAGACAGGATTGCCGGGACACGAGCAGTGCTCTGTGCTCTGCTGTATGCGCAGCCTGTCTTCCATTCCATTCCTGTCCTCTGTAGGCTGCTTCTTCCCGTTTATGTTAATGTATCTACTGCTTGCCTCTGGGGTTCAAACACTCAGCAACTAAGTTCACATAATTTATTTTTACCAAGAAAAGTAATTAATAGTTCTCAGTTTTTGTGTATCATATTATGAACATTTCCATATAATTTGACATACTGGCCTCTAGGTATACATGCCATTCCATATATCATCATACTATATGTAATTATATATATATATATGGTACATGCTATATACTATACATGTGTGTAATATACATATGTATATATATTTGTCCAATTATTTGGGAAAAAGTATTGAAAATAAAAAAATTAAGTTTTCTTGCAATACAAAAGAAGGTAAAATCACTGAAAACTACTCTTGTTTCTTTTCTTTTCTCCACAGAACCATCCGGGTATGGCTGAAAAGAGACAGCGGTCAATACTGGCCCAGCATTTACCACACAATGGCCTGTAAGTGACCGAACTGTTCCATTTGAGGAAGATGTCTCTAATACTTTTGATGATTTACATTTCAAAATGTCTGATTAAAAATTGCTACTAGATTTCAAAATGAGTTTCTGAGTTGCCTAATACTTCTGACAGGCTATAACAAACTGCAGGAAAACTGCTTTTCTTTTTCAAAGGAAGTTGGGTCTATGGGCTTAACTGAAGCAGACTTGAGCAATGCTAAAAAAAGAAAAAAGGAAAACAGGCATGATCCCCCCCAACCCCCGCCCAGGTTTTCCTTTGTCTTTATTTGGCTGACTTATATTAGTAGTAACTTTGTACTTTATAGTTGCTGATACTGGCACTAAAAAAAGGACTCTGACCCTCCATTGCTTTATGACTCACCTTTGCCCAGCCTTTTCCTAGACCTCTGGGTACCACTGAGACCTGTGGTCCAAGGTACAACACATTCTCAATAGAGAATTTTCGCAGTAGCCAGTTATGGTCTAAAAATAAACCAGGAAGATATAGCTTTCACATTGAGACTTTAAGACAGCCCTGGGATGGAGTGACATCAGATTGCAGGTAATTCTAGCCCGTCATGCAGATCTAAACAGCATTGCCACCCTCCCTTCCCACTTCTTTTCTTCGGCCTTTCTTGAAGAGAAAGCTCTGCAGAGAATGCCTAGATGCCACCCAAGCCCAAATGGGGGATTGAATCCTGCTGTCCCAAATTTCCTTGCAGAAAGCAAACAGAGCTGCTAATTTTCTTGAGGTTTTGGTCCTTAATGAGGGATTTTCCTTCACTATGCAGTGGAGCTCCTAGGAAAAGAAAAAAGACTTTCCTTGATGTGTACTTGATGATTTGTTATCGAAGACCATTGTAAAGAAGAATTCTTGACAGTAGTTTCAGATGCAGTTACACTGTTTACAGCTTCCTTAAGAGGTTTTCCAGAACTGTAAGATTGGCTGTAGACACAGAGTAGCCAATTATCCGACAGATTACATATCATCCATTTGAGTCATCCTTCCATGCACCTCTCTTCTCGGTTAGCGCCTCCTCCTTTCTACCTATATTCCTTTGTGCAAGCAGTGTGTAGATACTGTAATAATTTTCATGGAAAGTTAGTAGTTTATCAAGATTTTTATTTGTTCCTACCTTCTACCAACAGCTTGGGCAAGCTGGTCAACTTCTCTGTCTTTATAATCATTCAATGAAAATGAAAGACTTCTTGGAACACTGACATAAAGATAACTGTTATAAAAGGAGAAATGAACTTTTACAATACATGGCACATTAGACTACCTGAAAACCTGATCATAACTGGCTTGCTGAGTGGTAGCATCTCCCCATTACCCATGCCTGCATGTACTGTGGATGCCTAATCTTGGTTCTCACACTGCATTCTTACCTTGAAATATGAAGTGACCGATGTCTTAGTGAAAGTGCTTTTGGAGCCTGATTCATCAATTTGCTTTGGGAATTTTGGGAGCAAGGCATAGGTGGGATACCCTGAGCCTCTCAGTCCATCCTCTACACAATCAAACAAACAAACAAACAAAAGCTTCTGTTAGGCCGGTAACTCCTTACCTTCCCATGACAAACAAACAAAAGCTTCTGTTAGGCCAATAACTCCTTACCTTCCCAATGATAGTTCTACTAGCTGGAAGTAGCAGCAGCTTGAGGAACTCAGACCAGTGCTGGGAAATGCCTTGCCATCATTGTGGAGAATCTTGTTGATACTGTTGCTGTTATTCCTTCCACCCCTTCTTCCTCCATAGTTAATATTTTGGTTGTAACTTAACCTCCTTGAGTCCTCAACCTTGGTGTTAATACTCATTAGAATAGAGATGAAAGGAGACTGATACAGATTTTGTTCTATGTTTAGTTCATTACTCCTTGGCTTATATTTATCCCAAATATTTAGTACAACTTTGTAATTTGTTTCTCTCTCAGAGCACCAAAGCCCTAGCTGTAGAGGTGTGCACACCTTTTTGACTACAAGATCTGGGCAAGTGACTGTGTTTCCCTGTGTTCTCATTCTTCCCTAACTTGGCTTAACTGTTCCCTCCTGAAGGAGTTCCCAGATCAGGAAGGAGGGACTGGAAAGGACAGTCACAGCTTCTCTGCAGTGGGTGGCTAACACCTGTGTGTTTGTGTGTGTCTACACATATTCAGCATGTTGCTTCCAGATGCTTCTTTATTCAGCATGTTGCCTCCATTTGGACCTGTATCTATTGATAAAACTGCAGGAACACTATAAGAAGAAAACGGAATGAATAATTTTTGAGAAATAAATTAATTGTTCTAGAACAACTGTTACTTCAAAATTAAATTGAAAATTCAAGAAGAAAAGTGTCATGTTGGTTCTGAAAGCTATTGGCAGATTATCCAGTTTAGGATGTTTTACTGGTTATCCACTAATTTGAACATTTTCCTGTGACCTGACATAATGATCAATAAGCCAAACTTTAGTATATTGCTATATTTAGTCCAATTATGTGCCATAACATTGATTCACCTAACAAAAGTAACTTTCAGAATCTGCTTTAGCTGAGAAAAATGATAACTCTTAGTTTCTGCATCTACTATGTGCCTCATGCCTTTTTTTGATGACATTTTATGATATCATCTCAACAGCTATGCAAGGTAGATTTTATTTTTACCATTTTGGGAATGAAGAAACTGAAGTCAGAGAGGTTAAGTTGATGGAATTTCAATCCATGCCCATCTGTGACTCAAACTATGCCACCCACTACTGTTATGGGGTGGGCCCCCAAACTTTGTATGCAAAGGATCAGACAGTAAATATTTGGACTATGTGGGCCAAACAATCTCCATGGCAATTACCCAACTCTGCCATGGTAGTATGCAAGCGATCGTAAACAATATGTAAATGGAGCATGCAAGCAAACATAAATAATACATGAATATAGGAAGAAAGCAATTGTAAACAGTATGTAAGGGTAGCATGCAAGCATCATAAATAATGCATAAATGAAAGGACCTGGCGGTGTTCCAAAAATCCAGAAACTTTATTTATTAACAAAGTATTCAGTGGACTGGACTTGGCTCTCTAGTCTGATCCAGAGTTCTTAGACTGCAGTGACGCCTTCTTAAGAATTCACTTGGCTAGTCTCGGTGGCTCAGCCTGTAATCCCACCACTTTGGGATGCCGAGGTGAGTGTATTGCCTGAGTCCGTGGGTTTGATACCAGCCCAGGCAACTTGGCAAGACCTCGTCTTTACAATAAATAAAAAAACTTAGCTGGGCATGGTAGTATGTGCCTATAGTTCCGCCTACTTGATGGAAGAACCGCCAGTGCCTAGCAAGTGGATGCTGGAGTGACTGTGAATATGCCATGGCACTCCAGCCTGGGCGACAGAGTGAAACTCCAACTCAAAAAAAAAAATAGTTCACTAATTTTGGCTGGGCCTAGTGGCTCATGCCTGTAATTCCAACACTTTGGGAGGTCAAGGCAGGAAGATTGCTTGAGGCCAGGAGTTCAAGACTAGCCTGGGCAACAAAGTGAGAACCCTGTCTTCATTAAAAAAAAATTATCTTAATTTAAAAAATTCTCTGATTTAGAAGATGATTTATGTTTTGATATACCTGAGTATTCAACCCCTGTCCTTTTATTTCAGATTTATGTTGCTTATTTCAGTAGGAACCTCCCTTGTAGGAAGAAAGCCGGGACATTATTATATACAAAACAAACTAGAGATCTTTCTTTTTTTCTTTTTTACATGTAAAAATTCTCTAGTCTCATAAAATTTCCTAACATATTAACATTTTTACTCAAAAGACAGATTTTACATATTTATGTAGTTTGTTATAGGATTGGGCATTAAAAAAATGGAAAAGAAGCTTAAAACTAATGCATCTAGTACCACTAAAGAGCAAGCAAAAATGATGACAGTGAATCTTTGAAATCATTAAAGCGTAATTTGATTTGTCGAAGATAATTTTATTTATGATTATTAAAGAACATTTTAATTGAAGATATGTGTATATATGTACATGTGTCTTTATGGTTATAATTCTTTTTTTTTTTTCCTTTGAGTTGGAGTCTCACTCCATCTCCCAGGCTGAAGTCCTGTGGCACACTCACAGTCACCCCAGTGTCCACCTGTTGGGCTCCAGCAATCCTTCTGCCTCAGCCTTCCAAGTAGCCGGAACTACAGGCGTGCGCTACCATGCCCAGCTAATTTTTTTAAAAAAATTTATTTTGCTGATGAAGTTTTGCCAAGTTGCCCGGGCTGGTCTCAAACCCGCGGGCTCAGGTAATACACTCACCTCGGCTTCCCAAAGTGCTGGGATTTCAGGCTGAGCCACTGAGCCTGACCAGTTATAATTCTTAAGCATGATCATTCCTTTAATCTCAAACATCAACAGAATGGATAAGGGTATATAGGCTTATAGTCAATTCTAATGGCTTTGTGCACAGACAATTTCAGTAACTACCTTTCAGTTACATAGTTCTTGAATGCAACTGAAACAGTCTCTTTCTATGGTCATTTAGCTGTTTTTGCTTGGATATAACTGAGTACCCAATTGAATACTATAGTTTACTTTCTTCCTTTGGTGGAGAATATCAGCCCATTATAGAGAGAGAACTTTGAATTTTACTCAAATGGTGACTTCATTTAGAAGGGTTTTCTTTTACTTCTTTATGGGAAGTTTTATTTCAAAGTAAACTCAAGTTTGTTTTGTTTTGTTTTCTGGCATGCGTTTTCTTGTTGTGGGTTTTTCATTGTTAACTAAAATTATTTAGGCCAAAATGAACCCAACATTCCTTTTTCCAAATGTTCCATTTTATAAATCACTTTAATTCTAATTTTTGGCAGAAAGGGACAGTTTAGAGGTTTTGTTTGTTTGTTTCTTTTTCTGGAACTTTTTCTCTGGCTCATGGTTTCTGGAAGAGGTTAGGTAGAGTGTGGAAGAATGTACATAAGGAGAGACAGATGTCATCCCAGGTACATAACACTGCTGTAGACAGAAATCTGTCTACACCTTTCAACTCCAGTTGCGACAAACTGGGTTATATGTGTTGATGCAAAAGGAAATATTTTTGATCATTGGGAAGAAGAGTAATCCCAAAGTGGCTTTCCCAGCTTGCTCACATATGCCATGGAATGGGAATTCTGGTGCTGGGAAAACCCCACTTTGCACAAATTACAGCCACTCTGACCTTTAATGGGGAAAGATGTCAGGGGCAGGATGAACTCCTGAGCCCTTGGGCAACAGATCACCTGCTGTGAGCATTGATCCCCAAGCCTTGCCAGGCTACAGGTAGCAGTTTCATTTAGATGAAGCTTCATGCTGGCTCCCTTTACTCAAAATTATAGAAATAATTGAGAAGATTTGTAAAATTAGGATTTAAAACTAAGACAACAGAGAGAACTTCAGTGACATCTTCAATTTACATAGTTTTCTTTTATATAACATTTTGTCCTTTTTTAAAAAACCAAAATTACATAGCTCTTCTTAATCATAATGTGCTTTGAACAATGACTTAAAATGCTTAGCTTTGCTCATAATATGGTCTTTGTCTTTCTGGCAGCTCCTTGCTCTGCTATGACTTACCATCATGATAGCAGACGGATATTTGTGGGCCAGGATAACGGAGCCGTAATGGTAGGTAGCTTCCAGAACACATTCATTATATTCCTTAGATTAACCCCTCAGGTTCACTTATGTTGGACAGTTTCAATAAAGTTAACAATAGAGGCCTGGTTTTTTGCATGAAAAATGTTTAGTTCAGCATAGACATTAGGTAAAAAAAAGTTCATTTAAATTAGTGCCTAATGTTAGACTAGTTCCACAGAGCTCAGAAGGCTGTCATGATTGGTGGCTGGGTGCTTGGACCGGCCCATGGAGTATAGCCTTCACACAGTGAACGTGATGCCTGTGGCAACCCCATTCCTCAACCGTGATGGTGGAGAGCCTCTATTACTGTGTGTGTGTGTGTGTGTGTGTGTGTGTGTCTGTGTGATATGTGAAAGAGAGGAGCAGGAAAGAGCAAGATTAGGAGTGAGCCCTTCAGCAAACAACTCATTGAACTCTTTACAGCTGTGCTTCTAAAACTATCTTTATGAAGACCCAATATTTAAATTTCCAATCTACTATAGACTAGTTTTTCATAGGTCTCATTGTGTGCATATATTTATTTTTTCCTTAATTGGGATGTCATCCGTATACCCTTTTAAAGTGTTCAATTCAGTGGTTTTGCAGTGTATCCATAAGATTGTGTAACCATTATTGCTCTTTAATTCCAGAGCACCTCCTCACCACTACCGCTTCCCCCAAAAGAAACCTGTACCCATTAGCAGTCATTCCCCATAGCCCCATCCTTATAGCTCCTGGCAGTTACTGATTTGTTGTCTCAGTTCAGGGATTTGCCTATTCTAGACATTTTATGTCAATGGAATCATACAATATGTGTAGCCTTTTATGTGTGTCTTCTTTGACTTAGCATAATGTTTTCAGGGTTCATACCTGTCATATCTGGAATTAGTTACTTCGTTCCTTTTTTTGATGGAAGGGATATTTATTATATAGATAGACCACACTTTATCCATTCATTAGTAGATGGACATTTGTGTTGCTTCCACTTTTTGACTATTATGAATAATGATGCTGTGAACATTCATGAACAAGTTTTTGTGTAAACAAATGTTTCCAATTATCTTGGGCATATATCCTGTATACCTAGGAGTAGAATGACTAGGTCATATGATAACTATATTTAACTTTTGAGGAACTACCAGACTATTTTTCCAAAGTGGCTGTACCATTTTACACTCCTAGCAGCAATGCATGAGGGTTCCACTTTTTCACATTGTTGCCAACACTTGTTATTTTCTGATTGTTTTGTTTTGCTTTGTTTTTACTATGACCATCCTAATGAGTGTGAAATAGTGCCGTAATGTAGCTTTGATGTGCATTTCCCTAATAATTAGTCATGTTGAGCATCTTCTTTGGAGAAATATCTATTTAAGTCCTTTGCTCATTTTTAATAGAGTTACTTTTTTTTTTTTAGTTGAGTTGTAAGAGTTTGTTTTTGTTTTTGAGTCGGAGTCTTACTCTGTCACCCAGGCTGGAGGGCAGTGGCAAGCACACGGCCACCGCAGCCTCGACCTGCTGGGTTCAGGTGATCCTTCTACCTCAGCCTTCCAAGTAGCTGGAACCACAGATGCACACCACCATGTCCAGCTAATTTTTTAATTTATTATAGAGAAGAGGTCTCACCAAGTTGCCCAGGCTGGTCTTGAACCCCTGGCTTCAGGCAGTTCTCTTACCTCCGCCTCCCAAAGTGCTGAGATTATAGGCATGAGCCACTGCGCTCACCTACATTTTTACGTTTAATATGTCCAGGTTTCCCAACACTTCATTTTTGTTAGTTTTTAGTCAGGGATTCACTTGGTTACCCAGACTGGAGTGCAGTGGCAAGATCACAGCTTACCTTAGTCTCGAACTCTTGATCTAGCTGGGACTACAAGCATATGCCACCTCACCCAACTACTCTTTTTGGTTTTTGTTTGTTTGTTTGTTTTTTAGAGATGAGGTCTGGCAATGTTACCCAGGTTGATCTCAAACTCCTGGGCTCAAGCATTCCTCTTGTCTTAGCCTCCCAAAGTACTGGAATTACAGGCATGAGCCTCCATGCCTGGCCCAGCACCGTTTGTTGAAAAGACTATTATTTTTCCTCCACTGAGTTGTCTTGGCATCCTTGTTATAGAACCAGCCAGGTAGAGAGCCAGGGAAGAATTTTCAGAAGTGTTTAGTGAAGACTTGAGATGAGAAGGATCTCTGTGCATTAGAGAACTTGGGAGAGGTTATCATGGATGAAAGGTGCTGGGTGATGGGGAGGGACCCCAGGAAGATTGAATAAATGGACCGAGACCAGGTCATGTGGGATCCTGTACGTTTGGGTAATGTTTTAAATTTTATTGTAAATGCAGTGAGAAGCTATTAAAGGATTTTCAGCAGATGAATGGGATGATGTAATTTACATTTTTCAAAGATCCCTCTAACTGCCTAGTGGAGAATGGATTGAAGGGTAGCTGGAGTAGAGGTGGGAGAGTCAGGCTATTGTGGCAGTCTGGGTGAGAGTACAGTGGCCATGAAGATGGACAAAAGTGAACAGATTTGAGATACGTCTTAGATACATCTGTGATAGGCTGGGTGTGTAGAGGGAAGAAAGAGGAAGAAGTCAGGCAACAGCCTGGTTTTGGGCTTGAGCAACTGGATAGGCAATAACATCATTTCCTGAGAAGAAAAAGACTTGGTGGGGGGAGGAGGCTGTATGGGGAAGAGACAGTGGAAAGAAGGGGGACAATGAGGAGTTAAGTGTGCATTCAAGAGATGTCCGAAGGGCAATGCAGAGTTGGCATTGAATGTGCAAACCTGGGGCCTGGGGGAGGTCTTGGGCAGGGGTGTCATCAGTTTGTGGATCATTTTTCAAGCCATAAGAATGACTGTGATCACCTTAGGAGAGAATGTGAGAAGTCAGGGCCCAGACCTGAGTCCTAAATAGCTCCAGTATTTAAGTGTTGAGGAGGAGGTCAGCCAGGGAGGAAGGAAAATGATGACCCTTGACTGTGACATTAAGGAGTTGAGTTTCCCAAACTTACATAGTCATACGATTCATTTAGGGGACTAAATAAAATACAGAGTCCTCGGCTCTACGCCAGACCCATAGCTTTAGAATCACTTGAGAGGGGCTTAGGGATCTATGTTGTAGCAAGTCCTCTAGGTGAACCTTTAGGGAAACTGCACAGTGGAGAGCCGCTGGGGATTGTGAAGCAGGGGGTGGGTGGAATTATCAGGTTTCTGTTCTTTGTGCTCAGTGCCCAGTGTGTGGAAGGTGGCTCTGAGGAGGCAGGACTGAAAGTGAGGGTGCCAGTTAGGCTGCTTCAAGACCCCAACATGAGACTGTGAAACACAGAGGTGGTGACGGAGAAGAGGTAGTGACTTCAGGAACTAGCCGGGAATTGGGGCTGGATTTGAATAGACGTGGGTATTGAAATAGAGAGCAGTGTTGAGGTGACTTTCAGATTCTAGCCAGAAGGTTAGTGGTCCTCAGAGACAGAAAAGATGCTGATGTTTTTTGGGGAAATGTGGCAAGCTCAGTTTTGACACATGGGTGCATGAGCCTGAACCTCAAGTGACCTGGAGTTGGGAGTTCTCTGAACATAGATATCAGTGGAAACTACACCCGTGGCTGCCATTAACTGGAGATTGTGGGTAGATTGAGAAGAGTGAGGGCCAAGGTTCCATTTTCTGGGGAATGTCAATATTTAAGGGAATGTCAGAGGACTGGGAGCCCACAGGAGAGACACAGGCAAAATGGGCAGAGTTAGGGGAGGGCCAACCAGGATAGTACAACCATCGAAGCCAGAGAGGTTAGTGAGTTTCAGAGAGGGTGAGGAGCAGCATCAAGGGCAGCCGAGAGAGGATGTGATCAGGACTAGAACAGGATCTGTGGGACAACAGTTCATAGGCAGGGAGAGCTCTTCCATACAATGGTGGACTTCCCTGATATGCTGTGAACTCAAGAGTGTCCAGGAGGTGAGGGAGCCAGGGAGTCTGAGAGTAGCCTCTTTTTGGCCGAGACAAAGAGGAGGAAAGTTGTCATATAGTTAAGAGACTCACTGTTGTTTTTAAATTAAAGAAGAAGCCTTTATTGTGTTTAAGGGCTGAGAAGAAAGAGCCATTGGGAAGTTCAGGTTCTGCCCAAGTAGGTCACATGGCTGTAGACAGGTGGTGAGGGCTGCTGGAAATGCATCATGTCATGATGAGTGCCCAAGCTCTCCTCCTTCTCCTGAAACTCTTTTTTTTTTTTTTTTGAGTTGGAGTCTCACTCTGTCACCCAGACTGGAGTGCAGTGGCCGCTCCGGCCACCGCAGCCTCAACCTGCTGGGCTCCGGCGATCCTTCCGCCTCAGCCTTCCAAGAAACCGGAATTACAGGCATGCGCTACCATGCCCGGCTAATTTTTTGATTTACTGTAGAGATGAGCTCTCACCTGCCCAGGCGGGTCTCGAACCCACGGGCTCAGGCAATCCACTCACCTCAGCCTCCCAAAGGCGCGGGATTACATCCTGAAACTCTTATAGAACATCATGATGATGTGCATGCACATATGTAAGTAGAAGCCACCAAGTGCAAGGCTCCGATAGTTCAGTGGTGGAAATGCTCATGCATCTTCTGGTTCAAGAGGAGACTGTGGCTATAGGAAGAGCTTTTACATCTCTGGTGGGAAAGGGCAATGGAAACCCAGTTTAGCATTAGCTAGCAATTGATCTATTCATCTTCTACCCAATACAGATTAATATATGCAATGCTGATACATTTTTGTACTTTGTAAAATCAAGATGGAGAACAAGAGATCCATATTCCTTTGTATACGTTTTCCCCCTCACTCTGGTTAGTCAACAGTTTATAATGTTCGTGTCAAGCATTGATCAATAGGATTTCTTAATTAGTAATTTTTCTTTAGAGTTTTAACTTTTCAATTTTACACTGAGGCTTATTTTTTTTATTAAGAAGTTTGTACTTTTGGTCAGATGCGGTAGCTCACGCCTGTAATCCCAGCACTTTGGGAGGCCGAGGCAAGAGGATTGCCTGAGCCCAGAGGTTCGAGACCAGCCTGGGCAACTTGGCAAGACCTCGTCTCTACAATAAATCAAGAAAAATTAGCTGGACTTGGTGGTGCACGCCTATAGTTCCAGCTACTTGGAGGGCTGAGGCATAAGGATCACCTGAGTCTAGCAGGTCAAGACTGTGGTGGCCATGAGTGTGCCACTGCACTCCAACCTGTGTGACAGAATGAGACTCTGACTCAAAAAAAAATAAAAATAAAGTAGCATGCACTTTTAATTTTTTCCAAGTTATAAAGAATCACATAATCTATAGAAAATTTGGGAAATACAAGAATATTAAAAGAAGACAAAAGTCACCAACAGTCTCTAAATTTCTACATTTTTTTCGTGTGTTTACATATTACATAGGCATAATTTCCCCCACTAAATTACTGAGATGCCCACTACTTTACTTTTACTGTAGCTGAGAACCCTGTTAGTGATGGGGATGTTTGCAGTTTTGCTTTATATGCATCATCTTGAGGGATCTGCTTTTTGTGTAACCAAGAGAGCAAAATTAATACAATTTTGCAGCTCAAGGGAAAGAGACTACAACGTATTCACTTGTGAAGCGAGAAATGGACAAACATATGGTGCTGGTCAGCAGCACTCTCCTCATTCAATTTGGTCTACATTCCCAGAGAAATGATAGCCTGAGGACAGGTCTGAAGAAAGAAGCAATTCATATTGTCCTTAAATAGCAGATCTTAAGTCCTATGTCTTGTGATAATCATGTTCGGATTTTACTTCATTTTTAAAATTGAGTTCCTGTTGTTTTTAAAACCATAACTGTGTTCTTACTGTATGTGTTTACTTTTAGGAATTTCATGTTTCTGAAGATTTTAATAAAATGAACTTTATCAAGACCTACCCAGGTAATTATAATACACACACATACTCTCTTGCACACATATACATGTAAAACGACACAAAACTGGAGCATCATCTCTTATGATGAAAATTAGGTTTTCATGTTAATATTTCAGTTTTTTTCTTCTCTTTTAATTTTTTAATTTTGAAGACGTGGAGTAAAAGTCAGGGTTAGGTATACAAATGTTCATTATGCAGGTATCCTTGTTGATGAGGTTTGCCCCCTCCCCAGGCAGGTTCCCAATACTGCCAATCCCGCCCCCACCCCCCTGGCAGTTTTCCACTACTGCCAATCCTTTTCTTATAGTATTATGATAATTGTTCAAGGTCCGCTTATGAATGAGAACATGTGATACTCAGTTCTTTGTTTCTGTGATACATCACTCAGTATTAAAGACTGTAAGTTCATCCAGGTTGCTGTGAAGGTCGTGATTTTGTCCTCCTTTATGGGTATGTCTGACAAAGGCCTAGCATCTGGGATCTACAAGGAACTCAAATGGGCTGAAAAGAAAAAAACAAGCAACTCCATTACCAAGTGGGCAAAAGATATGAATAGACACTTCTTAAAAGAAAAAATACGAGTAGCCAACAGATACGTGAAAAAATGCTCAGCCTCACTAGTCATTAAAGAAATGCAAAATAAAACTACACTGAGATACCACCTAACTCCAGTCAGGATGGCCATCATCAATAACTCTAAAAACAATAGATGCTGGAGAGGATGTGGCGAAAAGGGAACACTTCTACCCTGTTGGTGGGAGTGTAAACTAGTACAGTCTCTGTGGAAAACAGTGTGGCGATTCCTAAAAGATCTAAAAATCGACCTTCCATATGAACCCGCAATCTCCTTACTGGGAATATACCCGGAAGAACTCAGATCACTCTATGAAAAAGATACCCGCACACGTATGTTTAGCGCAGCATTGTTCACAATAGCAAGAACACGGAACCAACCATGCTGCCCATCAAAAGAGGACTGGCTAATGTTTTAGTTTTGTCTCCCCAACTATGTGAGAGACATTAGTTCTTTAGAGTTACTTGTCACCGGACACTGTGACTCATGCCTGTAATCCCATCACTTTGGGAGGCCAGGGTGAGAGGATAGCCTGAACCCACAGGTTCGAGTCCAGTCTGGGCAGCTTGGTGAGACCTCATCTCTACAATAAATCAAAAACTTAGCTGGGCATGGTGGCATATGTCTGTGGTCCAGCTATTTGGAAGGATGAGGCAGAAGGATCGTCTGAGCCCAGCAGGTCGAGGCTGCAGTGGCTGTGAGTGTGCCACTGCACTCCAGCCTGGGCAACAGAGTAAGAATTCTATTCAAAAACAAAAACAAACCCAGAATTACTTGCCATCTTTTTCCTGCTCATTAACATTTAAAATTTTGTATATTGGGTACATGTATCAGATTTAATTTAACCATTTTTCTATTATTAGACGTGTTCTTCTATTTTTGATACCACTACTATATATACATGTATATATCTGAGTGTGTGTACAATTTATACATATGTGTAAATGTATATACATATGTGTATGTGTGTGTGTTAACTGTTACTCTGACTTTACTCCTGTAATTCTAATTATTTCTATTTAAGACAAATTCCTATAGGTGGAATAACTGGGTGAAATATTAAAAGCTTTGTAATGCTCTAGATTTATTTTGCAAACTGCTTCCTAACAACAATTATATGGTATAATCTTAAATATATATATATATATATATATCACTGACAGATTTTTGTGTTTGTTTGTTTAGTTTTATTTTCTTCTTTTAACATCTTACTAACTCTAAATAGTAGTCTTAAATTTTTACAGTCCTATGAGTGGTGACTGAGATTGGTGCTCTTTGACTTTTCATAACATTGCTGCCGCATAAATTTTATTTTTTTGCCAGTTTAAAGTCAGGAAATTCTTATTTTGAAAATTATTTGATCTTTATGTAATTTTTTAGCCATTTATCATCTTTTATGACTGCCTATTCATGATTTTGCCCATATTCCCAGGGAGTTGTAGTGTTTTCTCATTGCACCTTTCATTTCAAAGCTATCAATGCTTTAGAACGTCTGTGACATATTCATTTTTCTCAGTTTTTACTTTGCCTTGTAAGTTTGATATTTTAAAAGTTAATAAACGCAAGTTCCCAGTGTTAACTTTGGGTTGAAATTGCAAAACCAAGGCAATTTGATTAAGCTGTGAATTCCCATCAGACCAATTAACTAATTCCCAGAAATTTTGCCTGAAAACATAGTTAGCCTCATTTTATTCAGCCTATTTTGCTAAAATTTTATATTTCTTGCTTGTGCATAAAGGTGAACATTAGAGTCTAGATGTTTTATGTATATGTTATTCATCTTGGTGAAATTTGGTCTAATAATAGGATACAGGAACGAGTTTTTTGAACTTTAATAAGAAGGCCAAATTGCTTTTTTCTAGATATTATTTCACCTATTTCAAATTTAAAATAAGAGAAAAGTGCTACAACAGTGACCATACCTTTGAACTTGGAGTATGTTTGTTGGGAATCTGTTTTGTGACAATGAATGGTAACACTTTCCAATCTTGGAGTGCTGCAGTGTTATTACAGCAGCAGAGACAGCTTTGAATTGTCAGCTATCACTCGCAGGTTTATCTTTAAAATAATCAAGAATCTGCAAGTCCTTTTATGACGTATATACTTAGGCATTTGGAGACTTTTACTTATATGTCTAGTCAGTATTTTTTGTCAAAAGGCAAATTCCTTAATAAATTATTTCATCTATCATTAAGTTATTTATCAAATTATTTCATATTTATATGCATCATGTTATTTTTATGTATATTTTGGTTGTCAAAGTTCTCTGGACTATATGACAGCATGGTTTTTGTAGTGGTTTCTAGACCTTTGTATTTCTTTGACTATCAACATTTTTGAAAACATTTGGAGAGCTAAGATAGGGATTACCAGATTTTTTATTTTGCCAAGTGAGAGAGTTTAAAAAATAAAAATGAAGCAAAATAAGCATTACTGTATTGCACCATAATTTCATAAAAGAAAGGACATCTAAAAAACAAAACAGCAGAACTGGTATAATCTTAAATATAGGACAGTTCCTTCCCAAAAAAAGGTAGTTGGCTTTTCACTCCAACATATTTACCACAACCTAGTATAACCTACCTCATCACTGTTTGTCCTGAGTTTGACAACTGCAGATGTAGTGGAGAAAGTGTTTGGGGTCAGACAGACCAAGTTAATCTGTCACTCATTAGACTTTACACATGACTTAATGTGTTTGCTTCTCAGTTTTCTTATCTGAAAATGGGCATATTGCGTATCTTGTAAGTATTTATGCAAATCAAATATTAAAGCAGAACAAGCACCGCACCCCACACCAGTCACTGAGTCAGATCTCAACTCATGTTAGTTGTAGTTAGCTGAGACTTGTACTCAAATTTAAGATTACAGCTATCAGAGTTCCCTTCAAGTTTCAGGATCCTTCATGAGTATTTAATTGTTAGACATAATCTTTTAGCAATGGATGTATCTAACCTTCACAGAAACTTTTGGGGAGAGTTCTTCAGTTCTTCCAAAGCGGTCTATGCAGCTGAGAGCAAGGTCAGCAGTTTCTCTGTGTAGCTTCTGACTTCATTAATCAGACTGGGCATTTTCTAGACTCCAACTGCATGCAAGGTTCTGTACCAGATAAAGTAGAAGGCAGGTTACTGCCCTGGTGTGGCTTATAATCAACCTGGAAATCTCAGAAGTTAGGTAATAGAATACCTTCTTCATTCTTAGCTACTATTTTGGAATACAGAACTTTACAAATACTTTGTCTCCATAAATAGTAAAAAGTTGCATGCTAACAAAAATTATTCCAGGAACAGAAAGCTTAACACTATTTTTTAGTGTTTTTGCTCTTATTTACAATGCAAATATTTGTAATGGTAAAAACACTAAAGTTTTAGACAATAAAAAAACATTGCTCTGTTGAGAAAAGACTACTGCTTTCTACGTAGTTAAGGTTTTTTTGGGTTTTTTTAGAGCAAAGTAAAAATGTTCTCTTGTGCATAGCAAAAAAACTATTTGCTCATCTATTATTAGAATCCCTCTTGAGCTTTTCTCTTGAATGATGTGTAACTTCTGGTGGGATTGTGTGTGGGGGATGGAGGACAGGTGTTGGAGAGAGCCTGTGCTAGTGTGTTGGGTGGGGCAGGTTGTCTAATGTGCCCACAGAGGACAGGCATTCCCAGGACATGACTGTGTAGCCATGTGCAAGGATGTAGTGGCCAACTGCATTGAGAAGTTGAGCCTCAGTTCTTCTGTCGTTTCTGAAGATCCCATGTCTCCACCTTTCTGTTTCCACAGCTCATCAGAACCGGGTGTCTGCGATAATCTTCAGTTTGGCCGCCGAGTGGGTGATCAGCACGGGCCATGACAAGTGTGTTAGCTGGATGTGCACACGGAGTGGGAGCATGCTTGGGCGGCATGGCTTCACTTCCTGGGCTTCATGTCTGCAGTATCCTTCCAGGCACTGGATCTTGCCTTCCTCTGACCTCTTCTTCTCAGTATTTGGTTCTGAATCTGGTCATTAATTGTTAATTGAGATCTAAAGACTGAGTGACATCTACTTATTTCACCTAAACTTCAAGAATTTCTGTATCTCCTTTTTGGGGGGTATAAGTTGTATTTATTAAGAATAGTAAGCCAGGTGTGGTGGCTCATGCCTGTAATTTCTAGCACTTTGGGAGCCCAGGGGTTCGAGATCAGCCTGGGCAACTAGGTAAGACCTTGTCTCTATAGTAAATCAAGAAAAATTAGCCAGGTGTGGTGGCGTATGCCTTTAGGTCCAGCTACTTGGAAGGCTGAGACAAAAGGATTGCCTGAGCCCAGCAGGTTGAGGCTGTGGTGGCCGTGAGTGGAGTGTGCCACTGCACTCCAGCCTGGGTGACAGAGTGAGACTCCGACTCAAAAAAAAAAAAAAAAAGAAGAGGAAGAATTAAATGTATTGCTGTTCTCTGCTGGAAAGTGCTATAGGTTTTTAATATAAAATCATGGGAAACCCAAGTCCATTAATGCAAATCCCTCCCCTCATGTCTTTGCATTTCACATTGACTTTTTATTGTGTAAAGAAAGTGTTCATAGCCCTGGGATACAAAACTGGGCTACAAGGAGTTCTTCACAAAAGTTTTGTGTATGCTTTTTTTTTTTTTTGGTAGAGAAGGTTTGTAATCCTTATAATACATACTCTCAGAGGTGTCTCAGCATCTGCCAAAATGCTAACAGTTACTGCCTTAAAAATTCCCTACTACTACATGAAATTTGTTTCATTCAGACCTTGCCCTTGCTTAAGGCTACCTCTGGTCGCTTAGTGATGGCAAGATCAAGACTGTCAACAACCGACAGATGTCCTTTGGTAGTTTCTCAGAGTTGAATGTCTGGCACAGTAATGTTTTTCCTTTCTATTGAAAGCCATTTTTCTTTTTGGAGTCTCACTCTGTTGCCCAGGCTGGTCTAGAACTCCTGGCCTCAACTCCTGGCCTCTTGCCTTGGCTTCCCAAAGTATTGGGATTACAGACGTAAACCATCATGCCCAACCTATTGAAAGCCTTTATTTAAAATCTTTGCTACATGTGACAACACAAAGAGTACCGGTTCACTACCGGGGGAGTGAAGGCCTAGTTGGAAGCCCAAACTTCACTTGCATGCAGCCTACTCATATAGTTAATCCTCATTTGTACCCCACCACTCTATAAATAACAAAATTTTTTTTAATAAATAAAATTTTGCTACAAATGAATGCCCAGCAAGGTATATTTAAAATACTACCATATACTTTAAGATCAAACAAGGGAAGAATACTCAGATGTATGGTGTGCTCAATGAGTGCTCCCGTTATGTGTGAGGCCTCTCATAATGGATTTATAGAACATGACTCAGAATCACAGCCATGGCCTAGCTTGCGGTGTTTCTTTTGACCTGTGTTTTGGAATGGTAGTAGTTATCCTATTGTAAATAGTACTTACCCTATTTTGTATAAATTACTGGTTTTCCACAAATTTCTAAAGCCACAAACTGAGAAAGTAATGAGTTGTTACCAATAGTTAATATGTTTTTAAAATTTAAATTGAATACTACCACAAATCACTGCCTTTTGAACTATTGAACTGTCCACTATAATTTAAAGAAAATAATCGCTTTCATTTAAGCTAAATTATGTAGGCCACAAGAAAGAGGTCTATGTCTTGTATTTGCTGTCAGTTTTACATTATTTTCAGAGATACTTTATGGATAGCTAGCTGTTGGTTACAGTGCTTTCTTGCTATTTTCATTATTTAGCAATTTTACTCTTTTATACTTCATTATGCTTTGATTATAACTACTTATTTTCATATCTGCCTTCTCTACTAGTTCTTATCTTTTTTATTGTCAGTTTCTAGGATATTACTTTGTAGAGTAACAGGTGCTCAACTCTTGAATGAATGAATCTTAATTTTCCCAGTAATGACTGCTGTATTAATTTTTTTCCTTTGATACTTACATATTACATGATTTTTAGTTGGGTATTTCCTTTTTTGTCATGGTTTTAGGTTTTTGTTTATTCTCAGTAAGATGCACATTTTCTAACCTTGAAAACTAACTTTGACTAAGGCTGGTATCTCTCCAGTAGGATTTTCCGGGGTATTCTGTTCTATGTCCTTGACTGCTGCTTCTCAGATATGACTTTGACACTCAGTATGCTTTTGTTGGTGATTATTCTGGACAGATCACCCTGCTGAAGCTTGAACAGAACACGAGTTCAGTTATTACAACCCTCAAAGGACACGAAGGTAGGCTGTATATCACCCACCAGCCTTTCCCCAATTTGGTCATCCGGATTCAGTTCTTAGCTCTGTGGTTTTATGAATGATCAACTCCTCATGATCTGTAAGATTTCAATTTGTTAAGCTAGACATGGGCTTTAGAGTGGAAACTAAGTGAGGTTGGGTGATGGGTTTGTTTTATATTGTCAAAATCCCAAGTTGCCTTTGCGGATGATACTTTCTGTATTGTTTGCCTTTTAAAAGTCTTATTGTTTTCTGAAGACCTTTAAAATTTCTTCTCGGTGATAAGGCCTTTGGAGGAATTAGTATTATTTTTTAGTTTTATTTGTCAGTTTCTAGGACACTGAACAAGACCCAAAGGATTGATACAATTAGAAGAAATGTATGGGCTGATTCAGCCTCTACTTGGGAAACATACCTGAGTAGGGTTTTTTGTTTTTTGTTTTCCTGAGTAGGGTTCAAGGACAAAAAAATTAGTGGGTGAAATTTCATTATTTCTATAGTGCCGTGAATTGGCAAAGCTCTGTGGAGAGGCTTTAAAATTCCATTTATTGTATTGAGTAATTCGCCATGTACACATATAATAAAGAGATGTCATTAAATTCTAAGCTGTAACGTAATACCGTTTTTATACAGATCACAGGATCAAATTTTGATGTGAATCACAAATTATAAGCTTTGAGGCCATCTGATGTATGAAAAATGGGAATTTATTGTAAGGATTAATGATGGGGCAACCCCCTTGGGTCCCCTCCCACTGTGGAAGCTTTTCTGTCCTCTCAATATATCCTGCTTCTAAAAAACAAAAGAAAAAAAAAAGAATTAATGATGGAACTAAGGGACAATAGTGTTTTAGTTGTAACAAGTTAAACATACTCTATGCTCTCTATGCAATCTATTTGGGTGAAATGGAATATATCAGATCAGGGACTTTATAGGGGAAAAAGAAGAAAGGAAATTGCAAATTAAGATACATTTGGGCAGGAAGCACAAGCCTCGGAAGAAACTACTTTCTGTTTATGACTAATTATCTTATGACCCCCAGGCTCTTAGATTTTTTTTCGAGGTTTCTAAGCGAAAAATGGGTTCTGGTAACTTCTTAGTAGTTTTGATATTGAAAGACCATGTTATCTGCTGTTAAGCTTCTAATTGAAGCATATAGGCCATAGCTCACACAAGGTCAAAATTTATGCAAAATAAACTGAAACTGGCTTTGCAGAACACTTTTTTTGTTTGTTTGTTTGTTTGGAAAGTTATGTAATAAACGAGTGTCTTTTATTTACCTTTGAATATTGCTTCGTTCATTTTCTGTATACTTACTAAATTATTATTAGCTTGTGTGACTGGCTCAATTTTATTAAGCTTATTAATAATCTTTTTCTACACAAACAGTAGTTAGTGAACAATGAAGGAATCTATTGAAAGAGAAATCTGTAGAAGCAAAGATTTCTCCAAGGATCTCAAATTTGATAACTTAGCCAATGTAGAGTGTGAAACATACCTTTTAGAATTTTTTTATTTTTCCTAAATTATTTGGCATAATTGTGTGGTATACCTAAAGACTTTTTTTGAGGCACTTAATTTAATTTTCTTAAACATCAGGATCTTGGGGTAAAATGCCAGCGATGTCCTAGAGACTTGAAATAACCTAGATTTTTGTCTCATGTCAAATGACCACAGTAAACTTTGCTAACTTTTCTTATTAAGTATGAGTAGCATTTTTTTCTTCAAATACTTTTTCTGAACTAACATTCAATATATAGCTACTTTATAATTTTTTGGTACAGAGCAAGGACAAACTTCTTTAAAAATTCTTGTTTTCAAGCCAGGCATGGTGGCTTATGCCTGTAATTCCAGTACTTTGGGAGGCAAAGGGGAGAGGATTGCCTGAACCCAGGGGTTTGAGACCAGCATGAGCAACTTGGCATGACTTCATCTCTACAATAAATTAAAAAATTAGCGGGGTATGGTGATGCATGCCTATAGTTTCATCTATTTGGAAGGCTGAGGCAGAAAACCCCTGAGCCTGGTAGGTCAAAAAAGAAGAAACCTGGAGGGAGGGGGGTTTCTTGTATTTAAAGTAGTTTGATGCACAACTGAAAATTCTAATCTTACAACATTGAATAATAGTGTTGTGTCTTCTCTATACTCTTGATAACATGGTTGAATGACCCATTTTATGTGGCTAAGATACATTTTTTTACTTAAAGACTCAGCTGGTTCTAGTTTGGTCTTCAACTGTCAGATGTATATGTCCTGATGTAGTTTTATCTTACCTCTCCCTCCCTCCCTTCTCCCCCTTCTCTCTCGGTCTCTCACAAATCCCTAGGTAGTGTTGCCTGTCTCTGGTGGGACCCTATTCAACGGTTACTCTTCTCAGGAGCATCTGACAACAGCATCATCATGTGGGACATTGGAGGAAGGAAAGGCCGCACGCTCTTACTTCAGGGCCATCAGTGAGTGACCATTTGTGGGGGTGGGGAAAGAATCTGTGTTTGTGGGGAGCCAGGAGAGAAAGCATTAGTTTTCTGATACCACTTTCTCCAAATTCCATCTTGGAAGATGATAATTTTATAGGACTCAGTCTGCTTTTAACTGCTTACTGTCAGCCCTGAGTGCCTGGTGTTCAGTAGCAAAAGAAAGGGTACAAGATTTTCTTCCTTGTTAGACCAAGGATCATTTGCTACTTTCTCTCCCAAGGAATCCTCCCCCCCATCGAAATATCTGCTTAAGGAAGGCCTGGGTTAGAAACTGGGGGTGAGGACTTTGACCACAGAAGGTGATGATGTGCAACATATTAAGCTTTTCTTGACCTGGGTGCCTAACTCGCTTTTTTATTCCAAAAAGTGTTTCATTAAGAAGTAATAAATGGTTTTACAGTTGTCTTCACCTAAACGAATATTGTAGTATTTAGGTTCTTGCCTTCTAGTCCTGAAAGGAAAAGGAACACCTCTTCACCCCTTTTCTTTTTGTCCTTGTTTCTGGTTAGGCTCAACTGTTTACTATAATCACAGTCAAGTTGAAAATTAGCCAAGGAAAGGTGTTGTATGCAGTAAGCAGACCAAGATCGTTTTCTTGGGCATCTGGGGGGAGGGAGGAGGGGTAGTCTGAGAAGCATGCAGGAAGCGGGCAGATGTCTTCACCCCCTCTGTGTGTGCATGTGTACACACACACATATGCACATGCTGCTAGTGAGCTCCGTGGCATTTAACTGCTTGTTCATATGAATTGTGTTGCAGCAAGAGAGTTCCACTTTCTTTGTTCTTTTTTTCTGAGCAAGTAGAAAAAGGGACATCATGATGACTGGTCCAGAAAACCATAGTTCTCATCTCTAAACTGAGATGATTTGGAAGTATTAGTGTTTATTTTATAGAAAGTAGGAGTAGTAGGATGACAAGTAAAGTTTACACTAGAATTCATATTGCTATGCCACTTGCTAATTCTAATGAGGGGAGAGAGGTGAGCCTAAATGAAGAGTTTCTGTGCTTTTCCACACTGAAACGAGTGACCATTGTTTGTGCCACTTGCAGTGACCGGGTGCAGTCGCTGTGCTACCTCCAGCTCACGAGGCAGCTCGTGTCCTGTTCCTCAGATGGTGGGATTGCAGTGTGGAACATGGATGTTAGCAGAGAAGAGGTAAGAGGCAAGGGAAACCGGATGTTAGCAGAGAAGAGGTAAGAGGCAAGGGAAACCAGGGCTGACCAGGAGAGATCCCCAGTAGCTTGGCTTTTTGGTTGTTCACCCCGAAGACTGTAAATGCTGGGCAGTGTGCAAATAGTTGCAGCTTCTTGCTTGCTTATGGATTATTGTCTGACAAGGCCCCGCGTGTCAGTTACTGCTTCCTTCATTCATTTGAGAGTGTCTGCCAGTGACACACAATACATACATTCAGCATTTAGGCTGGTTCTCAGCCTTAAGAAACACACTGAGAGAATGCTTGGAGAGAGTGTTCTGGCACATCCAGGAACTGGACGGCACAGAGCTCCTCCAGAGCACTGTTGTGATCCCATCGCATCCCTGCACAGAAACTTGAGAGGTGCTTGGTGTCTCCCATCAGGGCATAGCTCAGTGCTTGACGTTTTTCTCCAAAATAGGTTTCTGTTTATCTGCTTTTTCTTCCCTTTGAATTCTGTTCCACTGAGTCCATGCCAACATGGTGTTTATTTCAAGCGACTTCAATTTCTAACTTGGTAAGGCCACTGACTAGTTGTGAGAGCTTGTGTAGGGAAGGGCCTTCTTTTCTCTGAATGTCTCTCCCTTACCCATAAAAAGTGAAATCAAATGAAATGACTTATAAAATCTCTTCCAGTTCTTTAGACAGACACTCTCAATTGTCTAAACTATCACTCTTTTGTCTTGTCTGTTTTGAAAAATGTTATGTGGTTGTTCAGTTATTTATTTCAGACAAATTTCTGAAAATAGACCTTCTGGGTCCAAGCACATATACATTCTTAATGCTTTTTATAGATGTAGTCAGATGATTTCCAGGCAGGATTTCCATTCTCATCTCTACCTGCACTGCTTTTTCTATGTGACAACTATAACCTGTGGTATAGATAGCAAAAGAGTTGATTCCAGAGAGATTTTAGAGTATGAAGGATGTTCATAACTTACAGTTCAACATCATAAATATTTGCTGAGCACCTAAAGAGTGGCCACAGAGTCTGGAAACTTAGGTGAATATACATAGAAAGTGGTTTATCGATACTACATGGCAATATCTACTAGGTTGCATGATGTCACACGATCTGTTCAGCATGCTGTCCTTCAAAGCAATGTGTAATTCAGTGTGCTATGCACCATTGCAATGGACGTGATGTATTAATGCAGAGTCTTCTACAAACCCTGCACATGTATCTGTTTTGTGCTGTCTCTGATTATTTGTGAGTCTGATTTTCCCTGATTAAACTTTCATTTTTAGCACAGCCTAGAAGTAGTAATCAAGGGAGTTTAGTCTATTAAAAACGATGGTGACATTACTCATATCCAGACTTTACGTTTACTATATTCTATATGCAGAGATTCTTACCTGCAAGAAGCTTGTAATCTGGTGAAGGAAATAGAGTACCCTATAAGTAGTTGAATGCAGTCTTTAATACCAAGGCATCCTAATTGCTAGGCTTTTCAGTAACCTTATAAGACAAGCTAAATAGAGAAAATTTTGATTCCATGTCTGCTGGTTATTTGCTGTTTTTGACTTTTCTAAAAATCATCTGGTAAGGCTTAAAGTAACTCATTGCTAAACATACATGTTTGATGTTATAGAATGTATACTAGTTTCTTTGGAAATATTTGTTTGAACTGTGTTTTATAGTTATCAGTTACTAGTTACATACACCAAGAACAGCTCATATATTGTTCTGGGCTCTTGACCCATCATTTCTCAGTCTTAATTCGAGAGAGGAGGAAACTCAGAGAGAGGATATATTTCCTGGATGATGATAGAAGGAGACAATTGGGGCCCAGTGCTAGTGGCAGCTCTCCCAAGGGTTTTACAACCTGAGTTTCAGCCTGCTGTTCTTATCCTTGGTAAAATCTTTTAGAGAAAGTACTTAGAAAGTAGAAGTGGGATTCCTACCTTCAAATTTTCATCATCATGAAGTGTATTTGTACCTCTAGAAAAATAAAAGATAGTCCCATCAGTCAAGGTACTTCCTGTGTGAGCAGTTCACTGCCTCTGTGAAAGGGGGGAATGCAAATTGTGTCAGAAAGATGCATATTTTTAGTAGTTTTGTTTCATTTTTAAACTAACTGAGTAAATGTCATATAAAAGTAAGTAGCCTTTATCTGTAAGTTTCTGACCCTGAGTTAGGGTTTTGTACAATTTGTAGGATCTTCTTAACAAGGACTTAGAGGATTGAGCCCAGAATCTCTAGTGCTGCAATGCTTGCCTGGAATTTCTTTTTAAGTCCCTGTCAGTACTGACTGGAGCTTTTCCAACCCACTGTGGCTGGCAACCACCACACTATCAGGTTGGAAGCAAATTTGCTTCCCTGACAGACTATAATTAGAGGGGCTCCTTATTTGGAAGTAGACACAAAATATAAATGAGAAAGTAATGATCATTAGAATAAATCATTTTGGAAAGAGAACTTTATTTAAACTAGTAGATTACAGAGTGTATAACGTTTTATATACTAGTGCAACATAGATGAGTGCAGAGATCAGTGACAGTAATGCAGTGGAATTATTCTTGTCATGTCATCTTTGTTCAGAGTAGGCAGATGGAGCGAGATGTGGAAAAGAAAGTGAAGCAATCATAATACTTGATTAATATTCTCTTTTGCTCTACTCAGCACAAAACAAAACTTTTTCTTCATAAGCAGGGTGACTCATGATAGCTTATAGTGTAACAACAATTTCTGAACATTAAATAACATTATGGGTTTCTTATATTAAAATATGTTCCATAAATAAATGTGGAACATGAAGACCCAGAATAACCAAAACATTCCTGAACAAAAAGAACAAAGCTGGAGACATCACGTTTCCTGGCCAAATTATGCTACAAAACTATAATAACCAAAACAGCATAGTACTGGCATAAAAACACACCTGGACCAATGGAACAGAATAGAAAACCCAGAAATCCACGTATTTACAGTCAGCACATTTTTGACAAAGGTGCCAAGGACACAGTGAGGAAAGAACAGTCTCTTTAATAAATTGTGCTATGAAAACTGGATATCCATATGCAGAAGTATGAAACTAGACCCCTTTCTCTCACCATATACAAAAATCAAATAAAAAGGGATTAAAGACCTGGAACTATGAAACTATTAGCAGAAAACACTGGAGAAACATTCCAGGACATTGGTCTGGGTAAATATTTCTTGAGTAAGACCTCAAAAGCATGCACACACAGTAAAAGTAGACAAATAGGATCGCATCAAGCTAAAGTGCTTCTGTACAGCAAAGGAAACAATCAACAAAATGAAGCAATGACCCACAGAATGGGAGAAAATATTTGCAAACGACCCATCTAACAAAGGATTAATAAGCTTGTTTATTTCTGATTTTGATTTTCATGGATCTCAAGTTATTTTAAGCATACTTTTTCTTCCCTTGTGCCTCTCTGCCCTCCTGTTCAACAATGTAATATTATTTCTTAAGACTTTCAGCAGAATCATGCTCGCTGGGGCAGAAGTTCAGTTCTGTTGGTTGCCGTAACCCTGAGCCATTTTTGGAGACCCCCTACACATAGAAGTGAATAGGACGTACATACAGAGGCTGTCTACGTGTAATAGACAAGCTGAGGGGTGCAGGCCAGATTCCTGAATCTCCCAGGATTCCCGTCTATTCACTGACAATTGCTTCAGTCTCTTAGCCAGCTTCTTTAGGGATAACGTCTCCTAGGGTTGTGATGGAAAGGAGATGAAATAAAGCATATAAAAACTCTTGGCACACTGTCTGGACAGTGGCCATGTGGCACTTACTGTATACTGGGAACTATTCAGAATACTTCACAACTATTAGCTCATTTAATCTTCACAACCTTATGAGGTGTATACTGCTGTTATTCCATTTTATGAATAAGGAAACCTAGGCACAGAGAAGTTAAGTAACGTGCCTGAGGACATAGCACTGGGAATCGGCAGAGCCAGGATATGAATGCAAGGGATCCTAACCTGAGTCTGGGCTATTACAACCACTTGCTATGACTATTAGAAAGAAATTGAGAAAGTAAAGATGACCTATTTGTATATTTTTTAAAAATCCTTCTTGCAATTGAGTCACTTGAAAACAGGTTAAAATGTTAGGAAATCCATTGTTTAACTGCCATTGCCAGAGACAGAGGCCTTTCATGTTAAATGAGTGCTCTAGATAATTGAAACATAATTCTTTAAATGCCAACCCTTTTTAAAGACCATAATTTTGATGAAAATGTCTAAATTTGATACTGTTTACTCATTTCTTGGTGATGCAGTTTTACCATTTGGACCACAGATCATTGTGTGCTGTATCGGTATACAATATTTTTTCATGTAGGATTGACAAAGTTTCTCCTGAAGCTGTGTTCTGGCTTTCAGTTCTACCCACCTTAATTCCTCCTAGGACAGATTTTAATCTGTTGTGAACCAAGAAACAGATTTTTAAAACTTATGGATATAAACAGACCAATAATGTCATAAATGGGAGGCTAAGGGGGAAAAATGCAGATTTTTTCATTCAAGAATTTTAAAAATCATATTCTGCCGCACTCAGGTGAAGGCTCACCACGCGATGAAATTCAATCATATCTGTGAACAGACGAGGTTCAAGAACTAAGCTCCAGGAGGCCCCAGCTGCTGTAAGCCGTGGAGGCGACGAGAGTGTGTTTAGAGAATACTGAAGCCACACACATTAGGGCATTTTCACAGCCTCCATGGGATGCAGGGCTCTGGGCAGGGACTCTGGTGGGCCTCTTCTGTGGCGTTTCACCTTCCTAGTGAGACTCTACCAAGAGGCCTGGGGGCCTTTGGGGGTGCACAGCCCACCCTCCTGGTGAGCACTGGTTGGGGCTCACAGTAGCCGGAGGACAGACAGCTGCCCCAGAGAGGCAGCACAGATTTGCTCTTTTGTACCTTTTCCATAGCTACAGTGAGAGCAGAAATCTTTTCAGGAAAAGTTTCATGAGAGAAAGGGGAAAGTTTATCACATTCTGTTTCAGGAGAAGGGAGCATATGTTTACAGCCTACAGGATGTACAGAATACTCTGCTGTCGGGAAAGCCACAGCATTTTATATATTTTTTATTTTAATAGGTTTGGTGCTTCTAATAAGATTTAAATATCACAGATTGTAGCACAAATAATGTAATTTATAATTTACAAATTGACTAAAATTGGGTATAGTATGGTATTTGAAAGAATAAGCATATGTTTCTGTTTATTAAAAAAATCTTCAAGTGTCCAAAACTGCTAACCTTAGACGTGGATGTCAAGTGAGCGGCTTTTGCTACTGGGTGTGAGTGACTGCCATCCCTAGTGCAGGGTTGGCCACAGGCGCCAGGACACCCTGCTCCCTTGTGCTGCTCCAGCCCTCCCCACTGAGACCCCACAAAGCTCAAGGGGAGCACATGGGCCTTTACTTCCCCGACATTTGGTTTGCCATGTCATCTGGAATAATACTTGAAATTTTGGTTTTTGTAAAAAAAAAAAAAAAAATTTTTAATCTTCTGTTTAAATCACCTGTTATGTTTGTTTGCAAATTGGTAACTTTTGGCTTCTTCTCAGGAATACGATTTTCAACTGTCTTGCTCTTGATATAGACTGAGAAGCAGCACTCTGTATTTGTGGAAAATTCTTCTCTTTTGCATTCTAATAAACAAGCCTCGTTTGTTTCTCTCCTCAAAAAAAAAAGAAAGTATTTAATTCCCCTTCTGTTTTGGTTGAGGGCCAGACTTCTGAATTCCAGACAACTAATGTTTTGTTAAGATTTTTATTATATGCTGGGCACAGTGACTCACACCTATAATGTAGAACTTTGGGAGGCCAAGGTGAGAGGATTGCCTGAGCCCACGGGTTTGAGACCAACCCGGGCAACTTGGCAAGACCTCATCTCTACAATAAATGAAAAAATTAGTCGGGTGTGATGGCACATGCCTGTAGTTCCAGCTACTTGGAAGACTGAGGTAGAAGGATCTCCTGAACCCAGCAGGTCGAGACTGTAATGGCTGTGAGCATGCTACTGCACTCCAGTCTGGGTGGCAAAATGAGATTCTGACTCAAAAAATAAAAATAAAAAATAAAAATTTCCTATCTCAGCCCACTTCAGTCTACTTGTGAGGGCTCCCCCACCCCCACCCCGCCCCGAAATAAAGACCTTTGAAATGGCTGTCATATGCAGGAATATTTGTGGTGACATATACAAAATAAGATACCAGAAGTTCTGATGCAATAGGAAACAAAATAATGAACTAGGGGCACCCATTCTTGAAACCACCAAAACTCCCTTTAGAATCTCTATAAAGTTCCATATCTTCACTGAGTATTTTCTAAGGACCAATGTAATTTAGAAATTCTATGATTCTACCATCATTGTGTCCTCTTATCAGATTTTTTTTTCTTGAGTGTTAACTTTCAAGGTCAATAAAAAACAATTTCTTACACCATAATCTTTATTTAGATTAATTCATAGAAAATAGTATTTTCTACTATTGCTAGTGCTCCTATATATTGTTAGGCGATTGGGGTTAAAGAGAATTTTAACAGGTCCATCTGATACAGTTTGTAAGTTTTTGCTTAGGATATTTTCTAAGTTCTTAATAAAGTAATTTTGAGAGTTTGAGTCCTCTGTTTCAACAAAAATGCATTGAAAACCTACTGTGTGACAGGCTGTGACTATCTCAAGAAAAAGAAGACCAACAGATGACTCATTGATTAGTAGGAAGAAAGACATCATCCCAGAGTTCATTGCTCATGGAAGGCTGCATGCAGCTGTGTGGCTCCCAGGAGGGAGGGACCACTGCTAAGAGCTGGGAGGGGAGGGGTGACAGATTTGTCAGTGTGTTGCCCACCCAGAGCAACTAGGCAGTTGTGTTTTGTTGCTCCTCTCCTATTAGTAGCCTCTGACCTTCTGAGCTTTTCCAAGTGGTTGTTTACCAGATCCTGCAAGCAATGGGTTATTACTCAGCTGGATGTAGATTTCAAACAACTTTGGCATAAAAAATAAATCTATAAAGACAACTGTTAAAAGTTCACACAGCAAATTGAATTCCTCCCTCTTGCCTACAGATTACAAATTGAACAACCCTATAACCACTGCTAAAATTGTCATGATTACTCAATTAAGCATGGTATTAAATATAGCAACCAGGTAGAATATATTGCTGAATTGAAAAGAAATACTAACACCAGGAGATATAGAATTGTACTAATTTCTGAAACATTAGCATAAATATACAGATGCACTGACATTGGCTTTGACTTTCTGTTCACCTCAGGCTCCTCAGTGGTTAGAAAGCGATTCTTGTCAGAAATGTGAGCAGCCCTTTTTCTGGAACATAAAGCAGATGTGGGACACAAAGACACTAGGGCTGAGACAAGTGAGTAACCCATGTTGCGTCATCACTGGGTTGATTCTGTATTTTATTATTTGCATAATGAATCTGTCAGTTTTGGGGGAATTACACTTTGTGGCTGCAAATGCTGTTAATTCTTGTTTTTTTATATCATTGTCATGTGACTAACAATGAATAAGACCTTTCCTGCGACCAGTGAGACTGTTACCTCACTATTCCATTGTTCTTCCTGGATTGGAGAGGCAGGGTACACAGAAAGTCCTGAGAGTCTATCTTTCAATAAGTAAAAGATCTTTTAGTCTAGGAGGACTATTACTTATTAAAGTCAGTGTTTTCTACTGGCTAGGCACAAAATTAGAATAAATTAGGGCAGACAACTATATGCCTTATACTGTCACAAACAGATAAAAAGTAAAATCTAGAACTCACCACAATACTCTGACCCTACACATTTTAGATTGTTCTAAATTGTTCTATTATAAGTATACCTGGAACACTTTATATTTTTGTTATATTAATTTTTTTTTATTCTTGAATCAAAGTCTTACTCTGTCATCCAGGCTAGAGTACAATGTCATGATCATACCTCACCTCACCTCCTGGGGTCAGGCAATCCTTCTGCCTCAGCCTCCTCAGTAGCTGGAACTACAGGTGTGTGCTACCATGCCTGGATAGTTTTTTATTTTATTTTATTTTAAATTATTTAAAAAAAAATTTTTTTGTAGAGACAGGGTCTCACTATGTTGCCCAGGCTGGTCTCAAACTCCTGCAACCCTCCTGCCTCAGCCTCCCAAAGTGCTGGGATTACAGGTGTGAGCCATTGTATCCAGCCCTATTTTTTAAATTAAAGAAACATGCCCCAAATAGCCTGTAGATGCTGTTAGCACCAGGTATTCATGTAATACTAGGGTTCCTCAAACAGATACATTTCTACAGCAGTCATGAAGGTAGCTACTCAGGGTGAAAATGAATTCGTGCAGGTAAGTATAAAAGAATGCTGATTTTATTCTTTTTATTACTGGCTGCACTTCTATGAAGGATTAGCCTAAAGTTTATAACTGTTAATAAACTTTATGACAGCCTGGACAACATAATAAGACTCCGTCTCTACAAAAAAATAAAAATCAGCCAGTGTGGTGGCATGTGCCTGTAGTCCCTGCCACTCAGGAGGCTGAGGCAGAAGAATCCCCTGAGCCCAAGACCTCAAGGCTGTGGTGAGCCGTGGTCATGCCACTGCACTCCAGCCTGGATGACAGAGTGAGACCCCGATGCAAAAAATAAAAATAAGCTTTCTATAGTTTTACTCACGAAGCTATTTATTATACAGTCTGATATAAGACTGGCAGGCAATGCAGGAATTATTTTAGTGCTCATAACTGTCTGAAGCTCTTAAATAGCACCTGAATTCTATCATCAGCCAAGTCCTTGCAATGCATTGGTGGCAGTAACTAGTGCATTGTAATTGATAGGTGAGGTAGTTCCTGCTTCTAAAGGAAACATGGAGAAATGAATTTTACTCTTATGCATTAACAGATAATAGAAGGGAGAGAAAAGTTGGTCACTAAGCTTTTAGTGGTAAAAGAATATATCAAAATCAGTAATAATAATCGGACTCTTAGAACGTTTGTGAGGTTTATTTCTGGAATCACAATTTGAGAGATTAAATAGCAAAACATATGCTCATGCATATTCATTTCTTAATGAGGGTGTAGCACATTTAAAACTTGTTTTAAAACTTTTCTCTAATGTAGGAATAGATTTCTTTTCCTTCCCAAAATTTAGTGATTAGACTTCTAAATGAACTTGAACTGGGTTTTAATAATGTTAACATGTAGACAAATAATGTAAGTGACTGAAAAAAGCAGCATTTGATCAATAAAGAAGGCAAGTTTGTTTGGAAATCCTGTATCGAAATTGTCTATCTTTTGTATTAATTGATGCATTGAATTGGGGGTTATTATAACTCAAGGCATACCCATCCCACTCCTGTTCCCCTAATCTAAGGGGAGGCCATGTGCATGAAAGCAAAGGCTAACATCCTATTTTCCTCCTGCCGGTCACCCAAAGCATCACTGCAGGAAATGCGGGCAGGCTGTCTGTGGCAAGTGCAGCAGCAAGCGCTCCAGTTACCCAGTCATGGGCTTCGAGTTCCAAGTCCGGGTTTGTGATTCCTGTTATGACTCCATCAAAGATGAAGAGTGAGTGCTTATATAGCTTTGTCTTACTGCATCTTATTATGTCTGTCTAATGGGTACTGGAAATGAGACGAGCCAAGAAATGATATGGATATGTTTTTAGCCATGTGTTTATCTCTTCTGAATTTCATAAACCATTTCTAAAGAGAGGATCTCTTGTAACTTTATGACTTATGCTACTGTGTATCTCAAGCTGCCCCATTGGTGGGGACAAATTCCTCCTGAACACTGTGAGAAATGCTAAGGCCAGTCCGGCAACATTGTGGACATTGTGAGCCCCCACGTCCCTCCAGGTGCTGTGCAGGAACAAGCCCATGTGCACATGGATGGCGGTAGTTGAGCTGGCTCTCCACAAATACATCAGTACCCAGAGGTTTGCTTACACACTTAAATAAATTCAACTACTGAGAAAGCTCTAGGGACCAATTTTCTTTCTTCGACAAAAATCCAACCTAGCTGTCTGTTCTTAAATAGTTCTTTGTATGAAAGATACATCTGTCTGTATACCCCATTCCACCCTGACTGAGGCAGATCCATTGGAACAGAACCACTGTTTTAGTTTTCCTTCTCTTTGAATCATTTTTTAAAGTAACAGACTGGCAAACCTTAGCAGAGGTCCAAATCAGAAAGCTAGTACCTCATCCCTGGTATCGGTAAATGAATTAGTGGTGGGAGTTAGGGCTGCCAGCTTCAGGGCCGAGTTAGCACCTGCACTGTAAGAGAGCATTGCTCCCTGGATAGCAGAGAGATTTCAGGGAATCCTGCAGCTCTCTGATGAGTGCTTTACTCATACCATATAGTTAGTCTCATTCAGTGCAGTTTCTCTTCTATGCTAAAGGTTCTTGTTTTTACATCTAGGAATGTGTCAACTTTTCAAGTAAAAAAAATAAAGTAAAAACCATTTAGTTTGAGAATTTTATAAAACATTTTGGAAAACAGTCTTGCAATTTATCATGCTTTCTTTCCTTCTTTAATGGTAAGGTTAGTTTTCAAAACCATGGCTACATTTTTAGGGACAAATGCTAACAGTTTTAATTGTATTTCTTTTGCTAAATAAAACTTATTCCAAAGCTCTAGGTATAGTCTAGTGAGTTTTCAGTGATCTCTTATCTCTTTATTAGTCGAACTTCTCTAGCAACCTTTCATGAAGGAAAACATAACATTTCCCACATGTCCATGGACATTGCCAGGGGACTGATGGTCACCTGTGGGACAGACCGTGTTGTAAAGGTAAGCTGGCTAATTGTGTCAATTAGCATCTCAGTTCAGTTGCCCCATCATTGTGCTGTGAATGGGCTAAGGACATTTCTTGTCCAGTCATCCTTTCTAACTGGCGAGACTTTATAAGTAACTTATTGCCAGTTTAAAACTTTGAGTAACGAATTGCTTGATTGTGAATTTCCACACCTTCTCTGGTAGTTAATCCTCATGGCATTTTCCTGTGCTGTGTAGGTCTGGCAAGGTGAGCTGGGGAGGAACTAGCACCCTTAGATCCCTGTGGGTGCTGAGCTGGCCTTTCTCTTCCCCCACTGACCTGGGTCTTCACCAACCCCATTTCAAAATGTTCCTTCCTTTCAGCATTCCTTTTCATCCTGAGGAGAAGGCCTCTTCATTTTAAGAAATAACCACATATTTTAAAATTAAATCCCCAGGTCACTACCACAGACATTTAAAGCAATTTTTTATACTTAATACCACTCTTGAGTATGGAACGTAAATATTTTATATTCCCAGTGGGCTTTTAAAAAAATTTAAATTTATAGTAAAAATATTATTATGATGTAATTTTAGGTGCCACCATACTACTTATAAGTTTCTTTCATGTTTTGGTGAACCACGTTGTTTTATAGCTGTATAAATCTTAAGAAAGTTTTGTGGTGGAAAAAGAGAATGAGAGAATTCATTATTTGGATACCTTTTCAAGTTTAACAGCAGTTCGTCTGTGTTAACGCTTGTTATTAGACCACACGATCAGTGCTACCTCTTCCACGTTTCTTATTTCCTTGTAGATATGGGACATGACGCCGGTGGTGGGCTGCAGTCTGGCAACAGGGTTTACTCCACATTGATCCAGGAGCTGGGTGATGTCCACACCTAAGAACAGCAACTCCACCAAATGCAATCCTTCCTGCGTAGCTCCACAGTCACTGTCTTGTGAATTGGCAGTAACCACTTAAAAACAAATCAACATTTTTAAAAAGAAAAAAAATGTGAAGGTGTGTTTTTGGCCATTTGTGGAACTTACCTGAGGGACTAACTTGGAAAAGATCTATCTGTTGTGGTTTCCTGAGGAACGGAAACTTCCTCATGAACAGTGTGCTAATGTGTAGTAAAAGAATAATCTAGCAGATTAGAATTTTAGAGGGGAAAAAGAAAATCGAACAAAAAAACGAATGCTTAGAACTTTCTTAAAGCATTCCCAAGTACAAACACACTTCCACTCGGACCAGAGGGCCCTTCAGGGCTTCCATGGCTATTGTCAGGGCAGGAGTTGGGGACAGGAGGACTTGTCCTCTCTTCCTTGAGGAGTGGCAATAGGAATTTAAGAAACCAGAAATCTCTCCTTATGTGCTGACACTATGTGAATATCTTCTACACTTAGCTATTGATAAACTCCTTAGAGATACATGGATACGTGTTCTTTTCAGGTAGTGCCATCGTCTGCACTTAGCATTGGATTCGCTTTTTTTTTTTTTAGAGTTGGAGTCTCACTCTGTCACCCAGACTGGAGTGTAGTAGCTGCTCCCGGCCACCGCAGCCTTGACCTGCTGGGCTCCAGCAATCCTTCCGCCTCAGCCTTCCAAGTAGCTGGAACTACAGGTGCACTTAGCTACCACGCCCGGCTAATTTTTTTATTTATTGTAGAGATGAGGTCTCGCCTACCCAGGTGGGTCTTGAACCCGCCGGCTCAGGCAATCCACTCACTTCAGCCTCCCAAAGGCGCGGGATTACAGGCTGAGCCACCGAGCCCGGCTTGTACTCGCTTCTTTTGGTTTCTCTTCCCAGCCAGTATGCCATGGGGGAAGTTTGCAGTTGTTATTAAATCAGTTGTGATTTTATAATAACTGAGGCAGTCTGCATTCTTCCCTTTTTCCAGATGTGCTCTGAGGACAAAACGTTTTTGTGGTGCTGTTAACATGGAAGTCGCACAATTCACCTGACTTTTTCTCACTGCAGTTAGTAAAGACTAACGGAAAACCCAGCTACCAGCATGATTGTGGTCGGAAATGATCAGTCTGTTCCTTGGAACAGCCCAGTCCTCCTAACTGACACATTCTATCTGTAGTTCCAGGATGAGCCTTTGTGATATTCTGGTGATTTTAATATACTTCACAGCTTTGACAGTATGTTGACTTTTAGTTGCAACTAGTATTGGTCATATCTCATAGAAGGAAGTTGGCAAACCACAGCTTTAATCGCCAGTCAGGTCTTGCACAGTAATTCCCAACTTATAAACTGCTTTCATAACACAACTAGCAAACGTTGTTGTTTATAGTGGCATTTCTAAAGCTTTTAAGCACTAAGTACCAGGATGAGAAAAAGATTGGAAATGGGGGCCTATCTTTTAATGTTCCAATACTTATGTGTTTGGTTTTTTTAAACAGTAGTACATTATTACTTTAGGGTTCTGGACGGGAATGGAGAAGGGCTTACTTTTCTAATGGACAAATATAAAATAAATAGCAATAGTGTCTTTGTTAGCCTTTCTAATGGCTGTTGATTTTTAAAAACTCAGAGCTGCGTCATTGTGTTGGGATCATATCAAGACAATATGGTCATTCAGTATGACAGAACTAAAGGACTAAATCTGTTTTATAACAATAACAAAAAAGTTTAAGTCAGGCAATTAATCTAAGATGTCTTCATAGCTATGTGGCACAAATAATAAGGAAAGGAGGTCAGGCACATATTCTGGAATGATCTGCATTAAAAACTGACTTGTCTTCAGAAATAACACTGAAGGGCTTTTTTTTTTTTTTGCTCCTTATAATTTTTGTGTCACATCCCCATCTGAAAAAGACATTTCTTTTCTTTTTCTTTTTGAGTAGGAGTCTCGCTCTGATGCCCAGGCTAGAGTGCAGTGACATGCTCACGGCCACCTTAGCCTCCACCTCCTGGGCTCAGTTGATCCTTCTGCCTCAGCCTTCCAAGTAGCTTGAACCACAAGTGCATGCCACCACGCCCAGCTAATTTTTTTATTTATTGTAGATATAAGGTCTCGCCAAGTTACCCAGGCTGTTATCAAACCCACACACCTTTCGAATAACCTTTCCTCCTGGAGAGCCGCTACCCCTCGGGAATAGCCCCTTGACTTGGGGAAGAGGCCCACAACTTGAGGCACAGCCCTGCACCTGAGGAAGTGCACCAGACACATGAGGTAGAGCCTATTCGCCTGTGGCAGTCCTCTTGTCTCAGTCTCCCAAAGTGTTGGGATTACAGGCATGACCACTGTGCCAAGCTAGGATATTTCTTTTTTGTTTTGTTTTGTTTTTTTGGTTTTTTTGAGTTGGAGTCTCACTTTATTGCCCAGACTGGAGTATAGTGGCCATTTCCGGCCACCGCAGCCTCGACCTGCTGGGCTCCGGCGATCCTCCCGCCTCAGCCTTCCAAGTAGCTGGAACTACAGGTGTGCGCTATCACGCCAGGCTAATTTTTTGATTTATTGTAGAGATGAGGTCTCGTCAAATTGCCCAGGCGAGTCTCGAACACGCAGGCTCAGGCAATCCACTCACCTCGGCCTCCCAAAGTGCTGGGATTACAGGCTGAGCCACCGAACCCAGCCAGGATATTTTTAAAAAAAAATTTTTTTTTGGACTCTTTGCAAAATGTATATTACTAACATAGACTGAAGGAAAAATTGAGTGATGGTAACTTTTCAACCACAGTGTTGAATGTTAAGCTTCCTATATTAACATTAGTTCATTAGTGATTCAGCCTATACAAAGGTGCTATCCTGAGGATTTTATTATGTCCTGAAAGGAAAATAGAATATGATCGATTCCTTGCCCTGTGGAAGAGTGTGGAACTGTGGTTTTGTAACTTCTTTATTTTATTTTTTATTTTTTGAGTTGGAGTCTCACTCTGTCACCCAGGCTGAAGGGCAGTGGCATGCTCCCGGCCACCACAGCCTTGACTGCTGGGCTCAGGCAATCCTCCGCCTCAGCCTTTCAAGTAACTGGAACTAAAGGCATACGCCACCACGCTCGGTTGATTTTTTTGATTTATTGTAGAGATGAGGTCTTGCCAAGTTGCCCAGGCTGGTTTCAAACCGGCGGGCTTGGGCAATCCTCTCACCTCGGCCTCCCAAAGTGCTGTGATTATAGGTGTGAGTCACCACGCCCGGTCTTGTAACTTCTTTAAAATGTGACTTTTTAATGTCTATGGTAGATTAAACAGAATATCACAGCTGCTGAGAATATTGTGTAGCTTTCAATCTTTTTTTTTTTTACTTTAAGAAATTCATAATGAAAAATTCTGTGTTCCATAGAGAACATTAAGTTGTTATAGTGCCTCCTAAGGGGTTAAGTTAATGTGAATCAAGGAGAAAATTTATATTTAAGGAGGAATTGGGGTGAGATATCTTAGATACAGAAAGGAGAATGTTTCAATATAGCTTGCTCTCCACTGGGCCTGTTCTCATTTTTTCTTTTCAAAGTCAAATATGCCAGACTTGTCTTTGTCACACGCTACTTAGCAAATGGGGTAATATTTTTTTATAGAGGTGGGCAAAAATTATTTTCTCAATTTTACTGACTAGGCACACAAGGCAGGTACAGATAGGCTTATAGTTATTACCTTATTTTGACTATAGTTCTCCTAAATGGGTCATTTAAATTAGTTCTTCTAGTAACAGTTTACTGGCCTTTCCATTCCTGAATACACAAGCTAATTTGTACAGATAGGGATTAAGGAATACAGAATATCAGAGAAGATCTTTATATTTAGATCTAGTATTTATGTGATAAGGAAGTGCCAATTCTTCCTTAAAAACATGTTTTTTAATTGCTTTTTTAGTCCAAGTGATAGCAATACCTCTGTCGCATTACATACAAACAAATTATTCATTACATTGTAAATCTGTTTACTATGTTCTAGCTCTGTCCTGCTACCTTGAGGATATAAACAAAAAATATTGCTCTAGAATATATCACTTTGTTCTCCCCCTCAAAAATTTGTTTGTTGGTATCTATATTTTTAAACTACTGGATCTGACCCAAATATGTAATAAATACTGTAGTAACTCAGACCCAAGGAGATATTTTTCTAAAATCACTTTTCATTAAAGCACTTTCTACTTCTGTTATTAGATCTGGTATCTCCTAAAATGTAAAAATAAATAGTTACTATAATGGTAAACCATCTGCTCATTATAAACATGAGGTTTAACAAGTAAGTAATACATGCTATATTTATCAAGTGTCTATTGCTTAATTGTTAATTGTGAGCAGATTATTGAATGCCTACTCTATTTTCTGCAGTTTACAATACAATAACTCTTTGAGTAAGCTGAAGTTTAATTGTGTAACAAATTTGTATTAGAGTACAATTTAAAATGTTTTTCTCTATAGCCTTTTTTGACTGGGGAAGCAAAGGGTAATGCTAATTAGTACATTTTGTTCTTGTACTCACTATGTTTCTATAAGATATGGTGCCCTGTGTATCCCAGAGATACTAGAAAATTTTGTTCTTTGCTCCTATTTTTGTGTTTTGGTTTTTTTTTTTTGAGAATATGCATACAATAAAATATTTCTTGCTTGTTACTGTTTGCTTAACGCAATTTTTGTTATATTTGATCTGGACATAGGGCAGTAATAGTAGCAACCATTTATTTAGCACCCTCTGCATGCTGGGTGCTTTACCAGCATTCTCTTATTCAACCCTGGCAACACTTCTGCAAGGCAGTATTCCCTGCATTTTACAGATGAGAAAACCAAGAGGATTCTTCTGTCTGTCTCTCTGTCTGACTGGAAAGCACATGCTTTCTCCTTGTGTCCCGCCTTCAATGTGCTAGCATGTCATGAGTGTCATATGTGAGGGAGGTGGGTATTAGTATCTCCTTGGGAAGGGCTTCGTGAGTCAACAGTCAGAATAGCTCAGGATACCTAGGCTGTCTGACTACACAGAGCTGCAGAGAGACACCACAATCATGCTCTGCTTCTCCCCAGCAGCTTAGTTTTGTGAGTAAACATATGGTAGTTCAGACCCAGA